TTCCTCCTCCTTTTAAAGCCGCCCCACTGATCAGTCTGATGCGGATCAGCTGCGCTCCCTCTCCTGCAGGCAAAAAACCTCAGAGATGATGAGATGATGGGCAGAGTACTCACCCCGGCTCATGACAACATGGTCTCCTCATCAGAGTTATTCTAGAGGGTGTGGAAGAGGATTAGGAGTATGTAGAGCTGGGTTTGTTTTTATTTAGAAACAGTTGTTTTCATACTGAAGAATTTTGTACAACACCACGATGATAAAATACAAACAGTTGTAAGCTATTTATCATGATATTTATATAAATATGGGGAAAATATATAAATTAAATGAAAAAGCGATTTAGAAAGGTTTTTTAAACACTCTAAAGTATCGAAAATTGGTATTGTTAAGTACCGGTATCGATTCATAGGTACTGGGATTTGGTACCACATCAATTCAAATCCCTATGGTGTGTAGACATTAATGTGCAGTTTAATGGGATTTGCCACCACCGTTGTTTCTGGTCAGCTCTCCGCTCAGCCACTATGAAAACATGAAGATGGACACAACATAGTTTAACCTTTAATGGTTACATAAGATTTTTGTTTTAGTTTCTCTTTGACATTTATTTATTGATAGTTATGTTATTGTTCATTCTTATTTCTTGTCATTCCTTACTTAATAACAAAATTGCAAATGCTAATATTATAAAGCAAGTGGAAATGAGCAGTTTTATGGAAAATATCTAATTTTTAAAAGTTATTGTGTTCGACTACTGTTCTTGAAATATCCTAATTCTATTTTTATTACTTGAGTACATAAAACAGAACAACATATCTTCTTACGTTCGTAATCCTGTTTGTCTCATGCTTCAGCAGTTCATTGCAGTCAGTGTTATTAACTGAAAAATATTAAATAATTACTTGTCTTCAAAATCACATTTTTCTTTATTATTTGTCTACCCCTTTGTGCTTCCATTTCTGATGCCGGTTCGTGTTGATACAGCAACCAGCAACGTATTGTACAAAAAAATCCCAAATAAAACTAATAATGTAAAAAGTTTATAAACCTATTTCAAACTGTGGGGAAACGTAGAATCAAACAAACCAAAATAAACCCGTCTACAGCTCGACAAGCTTATCTAAACCTTCCGGCTCACAATCAGCAAGCTCCTCACATTTAGTTCATTAAAGGTTATCTAGCTAAAACTGGCAGCATAAAATGTCATCATCATTGGCTTATTTTGGTAGGAAGTGGTTAGCTAACGCTTCACAACCCAAAACAATGATGACATTTCATCAACTTACTGGAGAAAATCCTTCCGAAACACAGAAAATAAACTGCGGTCAATGTAGCAGCTGGGGCTGTTTGGAACTATTTGAAGCTGGATGAACCACGTGACTTCTGCATTCCATTTTTCCATAGAAGTCTATTGGAGTGCCATCTCTCTTTATTGCTCTGCATGGGACCTGGTTACGTTGCATGGGACCATTCACCCATTGGTCGAGACAGATTTCAAACTGCTGTTGTAAATTTGTGTAGAATATTTTTGAGCTGAAAAGGGCGCTGGACTGAAGATTTTAGGTTGAAATTTAAGTGTGACTTGCTCATTCAATAGGAGGTGACACACTTGTGTAATTAAACACAAACAACTAATTTAGGGTTAACCCTAACCCAAACAACTACTTTCACACACCTCTGTTTCCAAGGCCACTTAAAACAAAACCCACTTACTTCCCCAGGACCAAATCATCTTTTTTTTTTTTTTTTTTTTTTTTTTTTTTTACCTCTACATGAACTTCCCAGCCAGCTAAAAGACATCTCCCCCTTGGAACCAACTCTTCCAATGTTTGGTGGTGAATCACAAGGAAAGGACTCCTGGACGAGCCTCCAATAGAGCTCCGGGAGTGGACGTCACTTCTCCCGGCATGCAACAGTTCAAATCGAAATGGCGCCATATTGGCATGCAGAAGCCGGCAGCTGGACTATTTGTTATTGTCAGAAAACTCAATCAAATGGGAAATATGGTAGATTCCTGTTGTGCCCCAGGATGCAGAACAAATGCGGACGACATAAGGAATGAGCCATCTACAGGATTTCCCAAGATCCGGAGCACCGCAAACGTTGGATCATTGTAATGAAACGCGCTAGTGACCGGGCTAAAATGAAGCTGTGGGATCCCGAGAGTAAAGGTTTTCACTTATGCAGCGACCGCTTCATATCAGGTACTTAAACCAACGTTTCCTCAACTGTGTGTGGTATTTATTTTAAATGCTTTTATTATGATTCTTAGTGGGCTTCCTAAACTTATTTTGGCGTGGCTTTTTCCGTCTTATCTCATAGTACTTACTCATAGTAGCAAGTAAACATCACGTAAAACGTTGCCTCGTGAGTTCTGCGTGCTGCCGTTTCCGTGTTTTATGATGACAGCAATTAACCGGCTAAGCTGTATTTAATTTTTAAGCAATGGTTGATCAGTTGTCAGATCACACATAAAAAGCACTTTGGATTGCTATTATCTGTCTCACCGAGACTACTTACGTGTAAATCTGTTATTTGTCCGTCCATCCATCCATTTTCATCCGCGTATCCGGAGTCGGGTTGCGGGGGCAGTAGCGTGACTTCCCTCTCCCCAGCCGCCGGAGCCAGCTCCTCCGGGTAAATCCCAAGGGGTTCCCCGGTCACGTCCGGTGTTGTGCCGGTAAGAAGTCTGCTCCGACAGCTTCTGGCGTCGGAGCGGGCAGTAGAGTCGAGAGTCCCAGACCTTCTCCCCAGCTCCTCCGGCCGGGGGAATCCCAAGGGGTTCCCCGGTCAGGTCCGGTGTTGTGCCGGTAAGAAGCCCGTTCCGACTGCTTCTGGCGTTTTAAAAAGTATCCCAGGGGCACGGTAAGGGTCGGAGATGTTTAGTCTATTTAATTTCTGACTATATAAAACGATTTCTTCTGTTTTAAAGTGTGAAGTAAACTCCGATGAAGTAAAATCCAAGCGGATCCCGTTCATGTACATGGTTACATCCGTGTTTGTTTACCTTTTTTGCATGCCAAAATGGCGTCCACTAACTGAGAGTCACGTGGGGTCCGGAGCTCTATATGTTATGACCTGGTTCTAAGCCATAACAAACAAAAGGGGAAGAGTCATGGAGGCATGAGTAAATGTGTAGTTTTACTCTGGTACGTACACAAATGCGGCCCATCATGCCCAAAACATGGCACAGGAGAGTTTTTCTACATCCCACTTGCTGTAGAGTAAAACTGCGTATCCATTCTGTCTGCTTCAATTGCTAGGACAGGTAAAAAAAAATAAAAAATATAAATTCTCCTGTATTTTTGTGATCATGCAGGACACACAGCCACTGATTGTCTGAAACGTGTCCAGTAGGAAGGAATGCACTTCTGGGAGGTCGTGTGGAAAATGCATCCATTGCATTCAATTTAATTCATATCAAAGCCTTTATTTAATGTGACAGTGTGTATTTTTCCTGGCAATAGGGGGCAGTAGACACCTCAGTAATTGCAAGCAAGCAGTATTTTTGTGCTGGAGTGAGACCTTTCCAACGGATGACCGCTAGGGTCAAAAAGCCCTGGGGAGTTCAAACTTTAGCAAAATAACAAACACATCAAGACCCTCTTTCATCACTGGCAACAAGTGAAGAGGTAAATGTGTAAAACAACAACATTTAGAAATGACAAAAGCTTTGTAACCGTTGCATTTTGTCCTCATGGGCTCCCGTAGAAGGAAAACATGGCATCTAATATGGCGTCGCCCAGAGATTTCGACCACTGCCATGTATTTTAGACCTGATTTTTATAATAATAATAATAAGAAGAAGAAGAAGAAGAATGCATTGAACTTATATAGCTTTTTCTAGACACCCAAAGACGCTTTCCACACACTCTCACATTCACACACTGCTAGTGATGGTAAGCTACTTGTAGCCACAGCCGCCCTGGGCAGGTCTGACAGAGGCGAGGCTGCCATTTGGCGCCGTCGGCCCCTCTAACCACCACTAACACAGGCAAGTTGGGTGAAGTGTCTTGCCCAAGGACACAACAGCAGGATACCCCTGGTGGGAGCTGGAATCGAACCCATGACTCTCCGATCATGAGGCAACCCACTCTATCACCTGAGCTACTGCTGCTTATGGTTATATGTTACGACGACGCCACTATTGTTCAGCAACTGAGCATCATTTAATTCATTTTCAACAACATTTTCATGGATGTTTCCAGAAAATAACGGTAAAAACTACACATTGTATCTTTAACTGGGAAAGTGCAGTCTAACATAGCACACACTAGTTTCAGCTAATCCATCTAGACAGCATTATTAACACAAAAAATCAACAAAGATGCACCTAAGTAAAAGTGAACCAGCTTTCTGATGCTGAAATTTTTTAACTGAACTTGAAGTTACCATTAATTCCGTTTCCTAGTTACAGCCAGTGGACTTGTGTTCTATTATCAGCTTTATTTGTTAATTTTGTGTTTCAGAACTGTCTGCTTTTGTGAAACATTTAGTTTCAGTTTATTCATTAAATCCATTTTTTTCTGAATATCCTGCTTGTAGGTCCTCTAACCGCATTAAATAATGCCTGAGTTGAATATTAACATTGAAATGGTTAGAATAAGTTGAAAACTGTATTATAAAGCATACAAATTTCTAGTTTGAAACTAACTTAATCCTTTAGAAACCAAACCCATTTCTACATCAAAATGTAGAAAAAATTAAATTAAACAAAGAAGTAGAATAATTTTTTATATATTTATGGATAGAATGTCACTTGGGGTTTTCAATCTTGAATATTTGACTCAAAAAGCGATTTTGCAGATGTTTGAAATGAGTAGTGACAACCAGCATCACCACAGGTTCTTAAGGGTTAAAATGCACTCGTACCACCTGTCAAAATAAACTGTTAAACTGTTTTGAATACGTCCTATGAGAATTATTAAAAGCATTTACAAACTCAGAAAGCATCTTCTAATAATAATAATAATAATGAAAAAATCCATCTTTTGTATACACCCCTCAAGGAGCTGTAACATGAACAAACACCTTATAAATGAACGTGCAGCACTCGGCGCCTCATGAGTCTAAGTCTTGGTTCAACGTAGCATTGACGGTTTAGATGGATTACAAACTGAATGAAACTTACATTACATTTGGTGGGTTTGTAGAGATGGTGAGATTCAGGCATGTTTACTTTGTGATCATTTTCACATTCTACATTATGATCCTGGGCTCTAATTCCACTATTGTTTGCTTAATTGTGATTTACAAAAACCTTCACTATCCCATGTATATATTTATTGCGGCTCTGTTGATGAACTCCCTTTTTTATACCACTGCCATTTATCCCAAACTGTTGCTTGACTTGTTATCTGACAAACAGATCATATCACGCACAATGTGCTACTTTCAGTATTACATATTTTATACTTCAGCTGGTGCTGAGTTCATGCTGTTGACTGCCATGGCCTATGATAGATATGTGTCCATATGTAAACCTTTAGAATATCCAAACATCATGAAAAGAACTACAATCTGTGTTCTGTTGGTTTTGGCTTGGCTTGGACCTGCTTGTGCTGTTGCTGGGTCAGCTTTCATGTCTGCTAAGGAAAAGGTTTGCTACTTTACTTTGAAAGGGCTTTTTTGTAACAACTCAATATATAAACTTAATTGTATAGTTTCAAGAACACTTTCTGTGTATGGTATTATATTTTTACTCAGTATTGCATTTCTGCCTATGATTTACATTATTTTCACATATACAAGAATATTTGTTGTATGTTATCATGGCTCTAAAAATGTAAGGAGAAAAGCTGTACAAACCTGTACACCTCATCTAATGGTTTTGCTTAACTTTTCATTGTTATCTGCTTATGATATTATTGTGGTTAGATTGGAAACTAATATTTCACAATCAGCACACTTTTTAATGACTTTACAACTAATAATGTATACTCCTCTTATTAATCCAATCATATATGGACTAAAAATGTCAGAAATTTTTGAAAAACTTAGGAGATTGTTTTGTCAAGTGAAATAAAGATTGTACTGACTGAGGCGTTTAATAAATATCTAAACCAATAACTAACCAATGGCAGATGAATTTAAATCATTTGTGTCTTAAACCTATTACAGAGTATTTACTTGCAACCTGATTTTCTAGAATACGTTTCTCTTGTTGGTATGGCTAGTGGAACTGGAATGATATAATAAATCATGTTAATGCATTTAAAAAAATAAAACAGAGAATTAATGACTTAACAATTTTATGGATTAAAGTCATAGTATTAAACATTTTAAGTTATTTCAACGACTCCTTCTTTTCTCTAACACATGTTTAATAATTAAAGAGAATGTCACATCCTTGTGAGCTTCTTTGTAATAAATTCAGGAGATACAGCAAGTGAAAACTTTGTTAAAGCAATTATTAACCAAAAATCTTAATTCATTTCAACTTTTATTTATTATAAAGAAATTTGTCCCCAATTTTCTAACCATCTCATAAATAAAAGTATACATGTCTTAACAAGAGGATCTGTGGATTTATTCAAATAGAGTGCTGTTGTTGCCAGCTTTTGTGGTTTATGGAATCAATACTTTTTTCTCTCATTTTCTTTCATTGTGTAATTCCCTTATCTTCAACAAGCAAACTTCCCTGTGAAAATACCACTCTCTCTTACTCATCTTTCATCTACATTCATGAATGAAGTGGGCCAGTGCCTTGAGCCCACTCTCAAAAAGGGCCTTGTCTTGAAATGAGCAATAATATACAATTGGAGCCAGCACCAAGCAGATGAGGGTGGAACTGCAATTTTAATTTCTTCCTGGTTGGCTTCACAACATTCAGACAACGGTTGTCCCATGGTGAAAATCAGTGCCTAGGACTCTGATTCAACTGCCAGGATTTGCCCAGGACTCAAATCCCCCATGAAGTTCTCTTCATCTACAGTCAGTATCTTGTCTGCAAAAGTGTCTCTCAGCTCCTTCTCTGAAAAGAAATGAAAATCTGTGGTAACTAGAGACCTTACCTGATACAAGCTGGGCAAAATAAACCACCATTGCATTGATGTGTCTTTTGTGTAATGAGTTTAAAAGTAAAAACTTAACAGCAAAAGAAACTAAACATTTAAAAATTTTAACAACTTTGTTATTTTAATATATTTTTCCTTATGTACTTTGTGAGCAAGTACATTAATACTTGATTTCAACACAGTTGAACCAATTCCCTGAATTTCACCATCAGCAATTCCTTCTTGGGTCTTCTGTTATTACCAAGTACACAATAGCTTGGACAGACAAGCAACATAATCAGCTATTAGAATTGTCTACTGAATCGAGTTTGAATGAGTCACTCACCAAAAGGAATAAAGTTTTTTTTTATTAAAAATCATGGTGTAACAGAGTTCATATATTTTTATCTTTAGTCTGCTTAATAGGACAACAAAAACAGACAACATAATTTATAACAAAGAACTGAGAGGACATGTATTGTTAAAAAAAGATACACGAAAGGCAAAGAGGGAAGTCACGGAACAAAAGGAGCTTCAAAAACTTTCACAACAAATATTTGGAAACACTAGATAATATATTTTTGCACAATTAGTTACAATTTACTTTATTCAACAGTAAAAGGATTTGAATTTGTTCAAAAGAACTTGAAACAGAGTTTCTGCCTCTGAGAGCTGGGAGTGGAGGGGTGAATGAGTTGTGTAGTACTGCAAGCTTCCACTGGGTGACTCCTATGAGCTGAAACCTGGCTGGGAGCAGGGAGTGATTAGTACAGTGAGTTGTGCGAGTCATGTCTCATGAAACAGCCGGGTTAGGAGTCAGTGAGTCGGGTAATACCGCAAGCTTCCACTGAGTGACTCCTATGAGCTGAAATCTGTAAGGGGGAGGGGGTGAGTGAATTGTTCATCCTCTGAGTTAGTCCAGCTATGGAGCAACTGAGTGATTCATTCATGCTACGATTGTCACAAAGTGGAAAAGTTTTGGTGCAATGGACTCTGTAGCAAGATATAAAAGGAGCTGAGGAAGGAAAGTCCAGCAGAGCCCCATGGAGGTGCATGCTGTGGCTTATAAGAGATTTAGGGCATTGGCCTGGAGGATGGTGCGGGCTGCGAAGAGGATGGGGTGGAGGCCCTTCTGTGACAGGTTGGGGCCCCGTACGTCAATTGGGTTGTTGTAGGGTATGGTCCATCGGATGTCTGGAGCTTCAAAGTTTTATAGAGTGCCCGTGATTTTCGACGGGGACCGGATGGCAGTCACTGATGGGATGAAGGTGGATATGCTGGCGCAACATTTCCGTAAGGTCCATAGCTCGGAAAATCTCTCGACTGAGGACCATGCTCATCGGGACAGTTTATTGGAGGGTTTTGAGGGTGACCTCTGGGGTAATGAGGGCGATACGGGTGTCAAGAACCTCTTTTTTTAATGTTGCAGAGCTGAGTTGGGCCTTTTAGGCTGGGTGGCATACCATCCTGGGGAGTAGAGCCCTGCACGGGCCTAAAATCTGAGCCCTTGTCCAGCCCGGCCCGAGGGGATGGAGCCCCAGCCCGACCCGGTCCGAAAAGGTTTTCAGGATTCTCTGGCCCGACCCGAACCCGAGCCCGACTTTTTTTTAACCAACTAAATGAAAACAAAGTGCGTCAATCCTGACCAATGTGTTAAAAGATGTGCGGGATCCGATCAATTTGTTTTTCCCTCATTTATCGTCATGGAGGTAACGGCGCAGGCTCTGGTGGTAATCAAGTTAAATTTGATCTCTTCCCAACAATTTTCACAAGAAAACAAAGCAGCCAAAAGCAGGGCTTGTGTTGTGTTGACCAGATAGTTCCCGTGTTTGACCGTTTATTTTGACGGAGAAAGAATAGAAAGAATTACCCCGACGCATGCAGATGAACGGACATTTTATTCGTTACGCACATTGCAGATGTAGCTAAAAGATTCCCATCTGAACATCTGAGCTGGACACTGCTCAGTGCAGCTCGTTGTCAGCGCATATGTGCCGCCGCCGACGTCCCCGCCCGTCAGCCTCGGCGATCCTCGTCACCCTTCCGGAACCGGATGGGAGTTTGGATCGGGAGACGCTCCTGGATTGCTCCGGCTACGAGGGCACGAGGCTGGCTGTCTGTTCCCCAGTAGTCGGTCCACGGCGTGGGGAAAGACGCCGGACTCCACCGCAATCCGGTTTCCCGGGACGGAGCTGTGAGCTTGCCGCTGCCCCTGCCCGGCACAGCAGTTTGGACACGCCCCCGGCCAGAGCAGCAGTCCCATCTCCTGCAGAATTGGCGCCTCCATCGTCTACAGGGGGAGGAGCAGCACCTGCAGCACAGCTGATAGAGCTCCAGGCGGAGCTTGGCCGGATCAGCCAGCTCGTCAGCCTCCAGGAGTCTCATCTGGACGCTCTAACCTCCCCAAACCGCCAGGAGAAGATCTCGGGCCAGCCTGCAGCTCCCTCATCTCAGAGCCAGAGTAGCAAGCCCGAGGTCCACCCAGCGGAGCTCGCAGGTCTCCGGGCTGAGCTGGCCCAGCTCCATCGGGCCCTCAGCCTCCGGGAGCTTCAGCTGGACGGTTTGTCCTCCCTGCTCTCCCCATTCCCAGCACCGCCAGTTCACACGCAGCCTGTCCAGGCAGCCCCTCCCGCAGCGGCTCCGCCTCCACTCCAGACATCAATGGATCCGGCCCAGAAGCAGATGGATCTGGCCCCAGAAGCAGACGGTTTGGGCCCAGGAGCTGACGGTACCGGCCCAGAAGCAGACGGTTCCGGTTCCAGTCCAAAAGTCGGCAGTCCAGAAGTCGAAGGGGCAGAAGTCGACTCCCCCGGACCAGAAGCAGACGGTTCCGGTTCCGGTCCAGAGGCCGGCGGTCCAGAGGTCGATGGTCCAGAAGTCGAAGGACCAGAAGTCGACGCCCCCGGACCAGAAGCAGACGGTTCCGGTTCCAGTCCAGAGGTCGACGGTCCAGAAGTCGAAGGAACAGAAGTCGACGCTCCCGGACCAGAAGCCGACGCCCCCGGACCAGAAGTCGATGGTGGTCGACGCCCTGTCCTGTCCTGTGGTCCACGCCTCTTTGTGTTCTGAAGTCGATGCCTCTTCGTGTTCTGAAGTCGACGCCTCTTCGTGTTCTGAAGTCGACGCCTCCTCGTGTTCTGAAGTCGACGCCTCCTCGTGTTCTGAAGTCGACGCCTCCTCGTGTTCTGAAGTCGACGCCTCCTCGTGTTCTGAAGTCGACGCCTCCTCGTGTTTTGAAGTCGATGCCTCTTCGTGTTCTGAAGTCGACGCCTCTTCCTGTCCAAGGGTCGACGCCTCTTCCTGTCCAAGGGTCGACGCCTCGTCTGAAGTCGACGCCTCGTCTGAGGTCGACGCCTCGTCTGACGTCGACGCCTTGTCTGAGGTCAATGCCTCGTCTGAGGTCGACGCCTCGTCTGAGGTCGGCGCCTCGTTTGAGGTCGGCGCCTCGTCTGAGATCGGCACTCTCTCCACTCCAGAGGTCGGCGCTCTCTCCACTCCAGAGGTCGGCGCTCTCTCCACTCCAGAGGTCGGCGCTCTCTCCACTCCAGAGGTTGACGCTCTCTCCACTCCAGTGGTCGACGCTCTCTCCACTCCAGTGGTCAACACCCTCTCCACTCCAGAGGTCGATGCTCTCTCCACTCCAGAGGTCGGCGCTCTCTCCACTCCAGAGGTCGGCGCTATCTCCACTCCAGAGGTCGGCGCTCTCTCCACTCCAGAGGTTGACGCTCTCTCCACTCCAGTGGTCGACTCTCTCTCCACTCCAGTGGTCGAAGCTCTCTCCACTCCAGAGGTCGATGCTCTCTCCACTCCAGAGGTCGACGCTCTCTCCACTCCAGACGTCGACGCTCTCTCCACTCCAGAGGTCAGCGCTCTCTTCACTCCAGAGGTCGACGCTCCCTCTGGTCCGACATCTCCGCCGTCTCTGGTTCCAGTGGTGGTTCCGGAGGTCGCACCATATCCGATCCAGCCCATCCAAGAGACTTTGTCCCCAGTCCAGCCTGCAGAGACTTTGTCCCCAGTCCAGCCGGCAGAGACTTTGTCCCCAGCCCAGCCGGCAGAGACTTGGTCCCTGGCCCAGCCTGCAGAGACTTTGTCCCCAGCCCAGCCTGCAGAGACTTTGTCCCCGGCCCAGCCTGCAGAGAATTTGTCCCCGGCCCAGCCTGCAAGGCTCCTCTACCGTAAATGCAGGCCCCCAAGAATCTGTCGCCTCCTCCTCTGCCGCAGACGCAGGCCTCCAAGGGCCCCTTGCCTCCTCCCTTGCCCCAGGCGCAGGCCCCCAAGGGCCCGTCGCCTCCTCCTCTGCCCCAGGCAAAGGCCTCCAAGGGCCCGTCGCCTCCTCCTCTGCCACAGGCGCAGGCCCCCAAGGGCCCGCCGCCTCCTCCTCTGCCGCAGACGCAGGCCTCCAAGGGCCCGTCGCCTCCTCCTCTGCCCAGGCGCAGGCCCCCGGACTTTGCTGGTCCCTGCCTCCGCTCCGTGGGTCCCTCGGTTCCTCTTGGCCCTCCCTCCGGGTCCCCCTCCTCCCGCCCTGCTCCTTGTTCCTGTGGGCGTCTGGGATCCGCCCTTTGGGGGGGGGGGGGGGTTGTACTGTCACACCCTGTCCTGTCTCCCCGTTTTGGTTCAGCCTTGTGTCTCGTTAATTGGCCCCACCTGCCTCTCGTTTTCCCAATCACCCAAGCTCCCTACCCTCCTGTATTTAAACCCCTTCAGTTCTCTGTAGTTTGTTGGATCACTGTTTCATTGTCCTGCGTGCCTCTTATTAAAGACTGTTCAAAAGTTCTCACCTGTCTGCCTGGATCCTCACTTCATCTCCGCTTCACTCGCCGGCACGTGTGACACAAGTGCGGGCGGGAGTGTAACACACACGTTGCGGTTGCGGGCAGTAATTGTCAGAAATTCAGCGGGAGCGGGCTGAAGAAAACAGTCCTGTGCAGAGCTCTACTGCTGCGTTTTAGTCAGGGGTCTGCAACCCGTGGCTCTGGAGCCGCATGCGGCTCTTCCATCCATCTGATGCGGTCTCTGTGCTTGTAAAATAATGAATAGATATTTAAATAAAAAGCTTTATATTTTACTGCATTAATTTTACATCTGTATGCCAATTCTAAATGTAACGATTGTTTGTGTAAACCTGAACAGTTCCAACCCGGTCTTAATGTGAGACCGGGTTGACGCGTCACGCTTGTGCGTAATCATATCGGCGCTTTCTGAGCTGAAGAGGATGTGAGATTCTGGGCTTCTCCTCAGACGGCTCCTGGATGTGTCGCCACATTGGAGACAGGAACAAGCGCTATTCAGCCAAAGTTTCATAATCAGGGAACATTTTCTAAGTGACAAGCCTCTCTGAAAGACAGGGTTTGAAAATTGCTCGCTTCAGTCGGAGGAATCTTCCCGCATGCGCTCTGGTTCTGCGATGCGCTCCAAGCCCCTCTCCACATCTTCAGTTCACTGTGGACCTTATGTGGTACATGCTGACAGTGAGCTGCGCTGAGCAGTGTCCAGCTAAGATGTTCAGATGGGAATCTTTTCTTGAGTGATTTAGTGTTTCAAATTTTTTTATGAATTCGATTAAAAATAAAGGCGCCCGGCCCGGCCCGTGTCCGAGGTAATTACACAGTCATTAGCCCGAAGCCTGGCCCGAGGGCCGTCGGGCCCGGCCGACCCGAGGGCCTAGGACTTCAGTGCAGGGCTCTACTGGGGAGGTATCCTGCTGCAGCATGCTACTACCACTACTACTAAACTTTATTTATACAGCGCCTTCACATGGCCCAAGGACCAAACAAAGCGCTGCACAGCAGAAATAAACATAAAAAAAACAACACATAAAACCATTTAAAAACTAACAAAACATGTAGATAAAATCTAGGTGAGGCAGCAAAAAAGTGCAAAGCCATCCGTTAACGAGACTCTTCTTGAGTAAAAGCTAAAGAATAAAAGTGTGTTTTCAGCTGCCTCTTCAACTTGCCGAGCGTGGTGGCCTGTTTAACACATGTAGGTAGCTCATTTCAGAGCCTCGGCCCCAGCACCGAGAAAGCACGGCCCCCTCGAGATTTCAGTCTGTGTTTGGGAATGACCAACAGTCCTTGCTGTGCTGAACAAAGGTTCCTTGCGGGAACATAAGGATGGATCAGATCCGATAGATAACGTGGAGCCAACTCATTTAAACATTTAAAACCAAACACCATAACTTTAAACAAAATTCTAAAAGAGACTGGAAGCCAAGACGGGCGTGATGTGTTCAGATCTCCTGCTACCAGTCAGTAACCTGGCTGCCACATTTTGGACCTTCTGCAGTTTCGCTATGGAGGCCTGCTTGATGTCTGCATAAAGCGAGTTACAGTAGTCCAGTCTGGTGGTAATGAAGGCGTAGATGACAGTTTCCAGATGTTTACGTGATAGCAGCAGCTTAATCCTAGCTATTCTCCTGAGATGGAAATAGCAGGATCTGATTGTTCCATTGACCTGGCTGTCCAGTGTGAGCTCTACATCCAACTTCACCCCCAGGTTGTTGACCACAGCCTTCTCAAAAGGTGCTAATAAAGGAGAGTCAATCCCTTGGGCACATCCATGTTTGTTTTTTGGGCCAAACAGGATAGTCTCAGTTTTATTCTGGTTGAAGAACAAAAAATTCTGAGCCATCCATAACCTGACCTCCTCCAAGCAGTCCAAGAGTGGTTTAAAAGAACTTGAGTAGTTATGTTTATGTTTATTCATTTAGCAGATGCTTTTATCCAAAGCGACTTACAATTTATAACTTATAGGGCATGTTGTGATCTGTGGGGGAAACCGGAGTACCCGGAGGAAACCCACACATGCATGGGGAGAACACGCAACTCCACGCAGAAAGGCCACAGCCGAGTTTCGAACCTGCAACCTTTGTGCTGCGAGGCAACAGTGCTAACCACTGCGCCACCATGCAGCCCAGTTTTTGCATGATACTGGTAAATAGATTTGACAGTCATCCACACAGGTGAAACGTGACGTTGTGCCGACGAAACTAAATAATTTAATTATTAACAGTTTTTTTTAGTCATTTTAAGAGTTTACTGAGGCGGTTCATTCAACAAGAGCTCACCCAGGACCTTACACCCCTGCAGCTGATAAAAATTGATCTAACAGATGAAAGGAACTTGGTCTCCCTCAAGAGTGTAGACATAGGCCTGGGAGAAGAATTTGCTATCAAGGTAATTTTCTTTATTCCTCCTGAGGTGCACATGTGTTTTGGGATGCCTGCACAAAGAACCAGGATGTATGTTGTAAAATTTATTTCTGTCATTTAGTAGTACTACTACTGCTACTACTATGTTTAGGCTGCTACTACAACTACTATTCGAATTAATAGTAATAATAGGAAGATTAAAAAAAATAGGGATAAAGAAATATTATTTTCCAAAGCATTTGCAGTGAACATTCACTAATGTTCCTCGTTTCTTAGGAACTTCAGAGCAATCCAGGATTCAAGGTTGGTGAGCTTTCTGTGCTCACCTTCAGACGAGAATGTTTGCAGGGCCTGGTTAAGGTTGTTGTGAAGCTACAGGAGAAAACCCCCCTGAAGTTCCAAGTGGTCAGGCAGACAGCATGTTTAGACCCTTCAAGAATGCACAGAGATCCTGATTGGTGCATCAGACAGATGAAGGGAATAGTGCTAACATTCCTCCAGGGCAAACATTTGGCAGCTGGTAAGAATATATTGTACAGGGACAGTCAAAGTGCATAGGTTATTCAGATTGATTAGAGTGTTGTGCGGGAAGTGTGTGTTAGAAAAATGTTTTTCTGCATTCTCCTCTCAATAGTCAGGAAGTGTCAATGCTTTATCAAATTAAAAAGTTAAGAAGAAGCCTTACACATCCCTAGCTCTTCGTAGATGTTATAACATGATATTGTGATGTATGTATTGCCAAATGGTCTGATGGGCCAACTGGGACTACTACATTTAAATGACCTATTAAGTAACTTAATTTTCTTTATCTCCTCAAGTAGCACTCCAGGACCTTCTGTGCCACCATCGCCTCGGCCAGTTCCTTCGCCACCACCATCACCTCTGTCCACTACCACTCAAAAGGAACATCTACCATGTCGCCGATGCACAGGTAGTGTCTGACCATTCTAAAAATTGCTTTGTGCATAAACAAAACTGAAAAGTTCACAGGACAACTGACATTTTGTTATCCATATAAACACAAATGTAATTGCCAATGTTGTTGTTTCCAGGTGACCGAAGACGGCGATTGGAAGCATGGACTCAGATGATATTTGATGAGTTGCAGATCGCAGATGGCAGGCAGATGGACAGAATGGAAGGCATAAGCCGGGAGCAGGTTAACTGGATGCAACAAGACGCTGCAGCAGCAAGGCAACATGAATTACAGATCGCAGAGCGATATTTTGAACATTTAGGTGCCCTAAATGCTGTTCTTGGACTGGTCGCACAAAGAATGGGCAGCTCCTCTGACTTCCTGCCACCACCCAGGCAGTAAGGAGCTGTGTATTTGTTCCGTAATTTTTTTTATCCCACGTTTGTCCTTTTTATCAATAAAATTTCAAAGAAAAACAAGATGTGCATGAATTGTCTTAAACAATTTTGCTCGCAAATTTAAATTTACATAATAAATGTAGATTACATTACAGCCCACCTTAAATATATGTTAAAATGGAAAGGTGCAACAGTTTGTTAAAAGTAAAACAGTGTACTTTATTAAGTTCTGAAAATAAAACAAACATTTCAGTTCAAACTACAGGCTTCCAACAGTTAAAAGTGTCAAAACAATAAACTAAGTAAATGGAAAGAAAAAACATAAATTGAGGTCAGCGGTTGAAGTGTCGCATCAGAGCTTCACGTACATCACTGCCCTCCTCTGCAACTTTCTGCATATTTGGAACCACTGGTTCATCAGCAGGTGCGTCACATTCATATTCCTCCTCATGGCTCTCACAAATATTGTGAAGCACACAACAGGTCAGCACCATGTATTTGAGAAGCTCTACATCACTGTCGTTTCTCTTCAGAAGACATCGCCACCAACCCTCAAGCCTCCCAAATGCATTTTCGACCACAGTTCTGGCTCTGGACGTTTTCCTGTTGTACGTCTGTTGTTCAGCAGTGAGACGACCGTTATCTGAAAATGGTTTTAGGAGCCAGTTCTGTAGAGGATAGGCAGAGTCCCCAAGCACATAAAAGCCTACATTTACTCCCTCAATGTTCTTTGTACTAGTTGGGTGCAGTTGTCCATGAGCAACCAAGTCCCAAAATGTGGACAATCGCACCACACGGATATCATGTAAGCTACCTGGCTGACCTGAATTAACATTCCAGAACATGCCTCTGCCATCCACAATGCCCTGGAGGATTATGGAATGCCAACCTTTCCTATTGAAGTAGTCTGTGTGGAATCCCTGTGGTGCGATTATTGGGATATGGGAACCATCGATGGCACCCACACACTGAGGAACCCCCCACCTGGTCTCAAAATAGTCAGCCATTTCCTGTAGCTTTTTCAGAGTTGGAAAAGCAATAACCTCGGCAAGCAAGATTTTACAGACAGCCTTACAGAAGTCCTGAACACAGCGGCACACAGAGGTTGTGCTGACACCAAAAAGAAGCCCGATGATCCTGTATTCACTGTTAGTTGCAAGCTTCCACTGTCACGGTTCGTGGTGAGCTTCCTGCATGTAACCCTGTTTTCCTCTGAGCATTGTTTCAGGTGGGCGTGTCTGAGAGTCTCCAGCTGCAGCTAATCCTGTCATCAAGGTCCAGGGAATTTAAGGAGCAGTCTGACACTTCACTTTGCCAGATGATTACTCTGTTTGGGTAGCTCTAGACTTTACCTGTCTCGTGTTTTTTTTTTCTAGTTCCTGTTTGCTTACCTGATCTTGTAAATTTTTGCTGGATTTCCTGTCGCCAGAAAAACCCTAACTACTCTTCCCTGCTCTGCTCCAGGTTTCACTCTACACTCCACCATCTCCATAACCAGCCCGGACTCCTGCAACCCAGATCACGTTGTCTCATCCCCTGGCCGCCCGCTAACAGCCACTCACCTGCCCTCACCAAGCCTCTGTTCCTTCCTCCTCTCTGGTTCAATCGTTCCTTCACCTTCTGGA